GAGCTGCCTGCAAGAGAATACCTGTCTATGTCCTAATTCCCAATACCTAATCCCCAAAACCCTGTGGTGTAGTGGGTTAAGCATTGGACTGCTAACTAAAAGGTTGGTGGTTTAAACCCACCAGATACTCTGCTGAAGAAAATGAAGCTGTCCAAGATCTACAGGCTTGGGAACCCTAAGGAGCAGTTCTACTCTGCACTATAGGGTTGCTCTGAGTCAGAACTAATTGGATGGCAATGGTTTGTTGTTGATGTTTTGGTAAATGTTTGGTAAATCCATGGGAAAATAAAAAAAAAAAGGATCTTTGCAGATACAAGCAAGGATCTTGAAATGGATCTTGAAAAGATCCTATGTTATCTGAGTGTGCCCTAATCTAACAAGTGTCCTTATAAGAGACACAGGGGAGACATTTGACAAACAGAAGAGGAGACAGCAATGTGACCACAGAGGCAGAAATTGAAGTAGTGTAGCCACAAGTCTATAAAATGCCAACATCCATAAGAAGTCAGAAGGTGCAAGAAACAAAATCTCCCCTAGAGACGTCAGAGGAAGCACAGCCATGACACCTTAATTTTGGATTTTCAGCCTCCACAACTGTGAGAGAGAGAATCAATTTATGTTGTTTTCTGAGATCAAGTTTTGGTGATTTGTTACAGCAGCTCAGAAACCGAATGCACTGGAGCCTCTTCAGTGTGGTGAGAGTGAGTATATAATAGAATGTATGTTAGATTCGACATGCACTTACTTCCCCTTCTCATGCTAAGGTGAGCAGTATGCCTTTCTTCTAAGTGTGGATGTATATATTCCTGATGTGGTAATTTTCTATTGGGGTCCTTTATAGTTCAAACATAGAGTGTAAATGATTTCCTTAGCAGAGGTTGAGGCACCTCTAGACATGAATGGGCATTTTTCTGGGTAGAAGGTCCATAGCCGTTATATTCTCAGTTCAGTGTCAATAGGATACAAAAAAAAAAAACAACCTTTAAGAATTCCTATGTGAGTAGAAACCCTATATAGGGTCACTATGGGTCGGAATCGACTTGATGGCACTTAACAACAACAAGAAGAGGCATATGGGAAAGTGAGAGGCAGCTGAATCCTGAGAGAAATGAGAACAAAAACCATGAAGAATACAAAGAGATCATTTTCAAATATTTGGAAGCAAGAAGAACCAGTGTGCCTGGTTAGAAGGCTTGAAAGCTATGTCGTTAGAAGTAAGTTTAGTTTCCTCATAAATACAGGTTTTACAAAGGAGACTATAAAAGGCAACTCTTATATAGCCCAGAGTCTGAAAGAAAGGCAATGCTTTCTGGACAGAGATTAAGGGGATTAGAGAACAATTCAAATGAATTGAGAAAGGTAAATCCTATTTCAATGACAAGTAAGTAAAATGCTGTCTTTAAAAGAGTTATTTCTATTATATAGGATGGAGAGGAAAGTTACTAAAAATGAGGAACCAGTACGATCTTAAGTCTGACTCTAAACAGAAAAAGAAACAGGACACATTTCTGGGTCTGAAAAAGATAGGAGATAAAATTTAGAGGATTTGGAAAAAATCTTAGTGTTAGCTGCCAAAGCCTTAAGTCTCAAATGATGGCCTGCTTCAGTAAGTCCCAGGCACACTGTCTCACAAACATCAAATGGGGTGCAATCACCTGCATTATTATTCTGTGAAGGAACTTGGGTGGTACAGTGGTAGAATGCTTGCCTTCCATGCAGGAGACCCAGGTTCAATTCCAGCCAGTTCCCTCCATGTGTAGTAACTACCCATCTGTCAGTGGAGGCTTGGGTGTTGCTATGATGTTAAATAAGTTCCAGTGGAGCTTCTAGACTAAGATGGACTGAGGAGAAAAGCCTGATGATAAGCCTCTAAAAACCATCCAATGAAGACCCTATGAATCACAACCTTACATTGTCAGCAGGATTGCCAGGAGTCAGGAGCTGACTCAAGCTGACCAGACATCAGTTAACAACCACAATACCCCTGGGAAAGTTCTTGCGATTTGAGTTGAGGTAACTATAGGGATACAGAAGAAGAAAGACTGTTGAAGAGTAGCTTGACTTCCCAAACTATTGGCACCGAGTCCCTATAACGTTCTGTAACAAGTTTATAAAGTGTTTTCCTGCAAACTACCTCACAGGTGTTTACAGTTCATGAGGTGCCAGCCTGCCTGACAGGAGCAGGTGAAACCTGAAGCCTGCTTTTCAGCACATGGTTTATAATTCTAACCACAAGAAAACATATTTCACAAAACAGGAACCTGGCTCTAGAAAATTTCACAGACTACAGCCTTTTCTGCCACACACCTGGGATATCACATCACAAAGCTCATTTGGAAACCGTTGCGGTAAATTGTTTGAGTTCACAAGAAGTAGAATGCATAAAGTTATAAAATGACTTGTGTCCAAGGATTCTGCTCTAACATAAAATTTGTCTCTGGAGCAAATATTCTGTTTCTAAAGCTTACACGGAGAAGAGAACATTGAGATTAAAAGAGACTAATTAAAGTGGGCTTTTTGTTGTTTTGTGTTTTTTCTTTAAAAGGAAAAGTCACACTAACCTCTACATGCCTCTTTGCACAGAATTATCAGAGAAATAAAATGTCCCGGCTATTTGTCTATGCAAGTTATATGATGTAGCAGTACATTTTTAACATGAGAATTCAATGTAGCACAAATTCTCCTTATCAGGTTATTTCATCATCCCAAGATTAATGGTTCAAGCCCATCACTCACTCTCCTCTGGAGAATGATGAGGTTTTCTGCTCCTGCAAAGATTTACAGCCTTGGAAATCCCATACAGGGTCACTGTGAGTTGGAACCCACTTGAGGGCACTTAACAACAGGAACGTCCCACGTTCTAAGTAGATGATAGCTTGTGAGTGGCCTCCATGGTAGATCTCTGATCTACCATGTCATATCTCACTTCACCCACAAAACCTAGTGATGATGACCTTCTACATGAGTCTGATAGTACTACCAGAAGAAGACAAGGTACTTATTTATTTAGCACAAACATATATAAAAATGTGTGTGTCAGGAACAAAAATTTCCATAGCATTTTCAAGCATTAACTCATTTAGTCATCAAAAACTCTAAGAGGTAGGTTCTGTTTTTACTTCAATTTTATTGATGAGGAAACAGGGTCATATAGTTAGTTAGAGGTTGAGCCAGGATTTAAACGAAGTTTGTTTAATTAACCACAGCGCCCTACTACCTATTTCTCGACTGTCTCATTATCTGATATTGCATATTTATGACAAGTTGGAGAAAATTCTCATACTTTGCCTCCAATGTTCCAGGTCTCACAGGGAGCCTGTACAAGGCCCGAGGCACCCTCTACGAGTCACCCTGCATGATATCCCAGGGGCTCTAGCCACAGGCTAAATGAGGCTGAGCAGTTATGGGACACCTTCACCTGTTGGTCTGAAATATCTCCCTCTAGCCTTGGTGGACACAGAGTAATAGTGGAACAATGCAAGGTTTAGAGAAGCCTTGGGAGAACCTGAAGGCCCCAGGGAGGTCAGTGGAAGGAGACAGGAATGGGGAACAAGGAAGTGGACGCTGCACCACACTGCTGGCAGGGCAGACAGAGGATGAGTAGGGTCCCCACCCATCCAGGCAGTGGGAGTTGGTGAGTGACGGATACAACCCTCAACCTCAACCTCCCACCCACAGGCTCTGCAGTGGTGATGGAAGGCATAGTAGGGAAGAGAGGCCTACCAGCACCAAAGATGGGGCACAACTCCCCCATCAACTTTTGCATAACGGTGATTTTGTTTGCTGACTGGAATCTAACCATGTCAATAAATGAGGAGTGGGTATAGTATCATAAAGGAGAATGAAGTCGATGTTTTGTCAAATAATAATGAATGCTCATATGTAAGCATTTCTAAAAAAGAAATTTGATTCTTCAGGAAGTTATTCTAGAATGTGTTCATTTGGACAAATTTTCATCATGGATTTCTAAAATTACAACTCATGATGCCTTATGCGATATATACAATGATAGTGTTAATCTATTGACATAAAGATAATCACCCCTCAAGACTGTATTCATATTTTAATCATCAATTATATATATGTCTCTGATTATAAAAACAAGAAATGTTCATGTTTGGAAGACTCTGAAAAGCATATGGCAAAATAAAAATTATTCATAATTCTACCAATTATGAATTGTTTTTAACAATCATCATTGTTGGTACAGTCATTTATATATATATGAATATATGTATACTCTAATCTGCTTTCTCATTGTATATCAATCCATCTGTATATTGACAACATTTATTAAGTATGACTTTGTGCCAAAGGGATGCACTATTCAAATAAAACCAATTTATACATTTTTTCAATGCCCCAATGGGTACTAAATATTCTCTAAGCATTGTAAAAGTCATAAAATCAATGCATTTAGATCATAAAAGTACTAACAGATAGAAATAAGCTCCCAGTGGAACATATGTGAAAGCATTCTTAAAAATTCAAATATTCAGTGGAGTTGACATTACAGTGGTGATATATTTCAACCTGATCTTGTCATTACATTTTTGCGTCACCTAGAAGCAAAGTTTAGCATCAGCAGAATGAAAAAGATTAATATTTGATTCTTAAGCTAATGCACAAGTTAATTATACGAGACCTCCATTGATTCTTGGTTATTTTCTTAATGAATTGATTTTAAGGCTTCTCTATGATAAGGCACAAGACAACCAAAAAGAAAAACAAAAGATTTGTAATTGTTGTAATACTATTAAGTATTACTTTTCAAAAGTAAATTGTATCCATAAAGCATGTGATAATTACTAGTCAGGTAATTTGCAAAGCACCGTGTTGAGCAAGCAGTATGTGGAAGAAATTATTTCATGCAGAAGGAAAAACACTCAATATCAATCTAGTGGATTGAAAATTTTGCCTGGCTACACAAAATAAGCATCACGTGAGTGGCTGTAAGGAATCGCTCAGCTGACAGTGGACTCCTGTTGGTGGCTACAATGTTACAGCCGTGAAGACAACTTCCTCTTGACTGTCCCAGTAATTTTGCCATATGGATTGTCTAAAGGTAGCAAGACCTGTAGAAAAATTACATGTTAACCTCAGAAGCATTAAAATATCTCCCTCTTTTTTAATATATATATATATATGAACCAATATTTAAACAACAACTTGTTAAACAGTAAATATGTGCTGTATAGTAAAGTTCCTCATTTTTCTGGCAAGCATGGCAATACCTCATTTTTCTGGCAATGGGTGAGACATGAATTGTTTTACCAGAAAATTAAAGAGTTTGGGAAAATATTCAATCACTGGAATATAAATGTTTCTAAAAGGCATTACATAGCCCTGCTTTTCCAATAGAATGTAGAGTGCAGAACTTGACCTTTTTTTTTTTTTTTTTTTTCTTGATGACTCACTTTGCACATCAATCATTGTCTAACGCTGTAATACAGCCATGCCCTCAGGAGCATATGAGGTCTGCAGAGCTATTAACTCAATGCTAAATGGATCCAGACAGTTGTGTCTTTAGAGTTCTTCCATCTTCCTACTCTGTCATTTGTCACTTCTCTGCTCTTGTCCATGTGTCCTTGATTCTCCTGTGTTGCCTTCACTTTGTACAAAGCTTCTGGGCCTGCGTCTAAGAGCAACTTCAACCAGTCCTGAGGTACAGATGAGGATGCAGATAGCTGGTTGTGCTTTGCAGACACCCTTATGCAGAGTCTTGACCCAGAGGGCCTTCCTGCCTCCAGGTCTCTGGCTAAACTCTAGAAGGGAACTAAGGGAGCTGGAATTCTGACTTCTCGAATGAAGGTACACTTGGTCTCAGCCCGCCAACAAGCCCTAGAGCTGGGATCAGTGCAGGCCTGAGGCATCAGAGGCCCCGAGGATGCTCTCCTTACTCTGAGTGGGGTCCTGAACTGAGCACTACACCAACTGAACCATGAAACCTGACCATTTTCCAACTTGAGTCCATTTGTTTTGTTTCTGGTGGAAATGGATCCCCTGAGTGGTAAAAATAATTAGTAATATGTTCAGCTACTAACTGAAAGCTTGGAGGTTTGAGTTCACCCAGAGACACCTCACAAGAAAGGCCTGCCAATCTACTTTCTAAAAATCATGGAAAATGCCGTGGAGCACAGTTTTGCTCTGATACTCATGGGGTTACCATGAGTTGACATTGACTTGATCGTAACTGTTGTTGTGGGGTTTTTTTTCTTTAAGCTGGTGAACATAGCCAAGATTTTTCTTGGGTCTATCTTTTGTTCATTAGAAGGTAATCATTTAAAAGAGGCTTAAGTGAAATTTCAGTATTCCACACCCTTTTCTTCTTCTGATGCACACAGTTCTGCCCCTCTTTCAGCTACAAGAACAGTGCATGGGATAAAGGTTCTTTCTTCTGCAGCTCCTACCCTAGTCACCTAAGCAAGACCTTTGTTTTCAACTGCTGACCACCAACCAGAAGCATAGCTACAGAAAATAGCAACTGTGACATTTAGTTTTAACTTGCTTAATGAGCTGGTGATGGAACTGCAATGATAAATAGAAGCTGCTCATTGGTTCCTCCACTCTACTGGTGCCCAGACCACATACCATATTTGCATCCCCTAGATACAGCTCTAAGGCGCTCTGGTAGTGTAGTGGTTACGAATCATGCTACGAACCGCAAGGTCAGCAGTTAGAAATTACCAGCTGTTCTGCAGGAGAAAGATGAGGCTTTCTGCTCCCATAAAGACTTACAGCCTTGGAAACCCTGTACCAGGGTCCCTATGAGTTGGAAGCGACTCCATGGCACATAACCACCACAACCACCAGATACAACTCTGACCCTTCCTGCTACTTATGGCAGAGCAAAGCCAGGAGGAGTCCTTGTGAAATAGAAATAAAGTATCTGACAGAGGTTCTGACTCCTGAGCCTCCTGAGGCAGCAGATCTAGAATCTAGGACCTTCTTGAAGAACACTTTATTTACCTTTACCCATTAGAGACTACAATTCTAAAACAACAGAGCTATGTTAATAGATGACCTCTTCTCTTGTCATTCCCTCATACACAACAGAAAACTTAGGAAAGATGGAGGTTTTTTTAAAAATGATAGAAGTCTGCAGGAGGATGGATCAAATAAAGACATCCTGGGTGGTGTAAATGGTTAAGTGCTGGACTACTAGCAAAAGGTTGATGGTTCAAACCTACACAAAGGTTTGAAAACAGGCCTGGTGATCTGCTTCTGAAAGGCCAAAGCTAGAAAACCCTGTGAAGCACAGTTCAATTCTGTACACATGGGGCAATCATGAATTAGAATCCACTACAGAGCTCTGGTAGTATAGTGGTTACGAATCGGGCTGCGAACTGCAAGGTCAGCAGTTCAAAACTACTAGCTGTTCTACGGGAGAAAGATGAGGCTTTCTTCTCCTGTAAAGATTTACAGCCTCAGAAACCCTGTACAGGGTCGTTATGAGTCGGGTAACGGACAACATCATTTTGAAAGTGGCCCAAGAAGAAAGAACTGTTCTAATATCGACCCAAAATTGACCACAAAGTCTGTCAGGATTTGGAGCTAACAAGTCTGTGGGGCAATGACTAAGAGAGCTCAACTGCTAACTGAAAAGTTAGTGGTTCAAACCCACCAGCTACTCCACCGCAAAAGAAACATGTGAGTAGGCTTCCACAAAGATCGTTGTTAAGTGCCGTAGAGTCAGTTCCAACTCATAGCGACTCTGTATAGGGTTTCTGAGGAACAGCTGGTGAGTTTCAATTGCTGACTTTGTGGTTCAAAATCCAGTGCTGATCTTACACGCCACACTAGGAGTCCTTCAGCCATAGAAACCTTATAAAGTAGTTCTACTTTGTCCAGTAGGGTTACAGTGAGTCAGAATTGACTTGATGTCAGTGGACTTGGGTTTGGTAGTCAGACATACTAAGTGGTTTGACTTTCTGCCACGGATAAAAATGAGTCCGGGTAAGTGCTTTTTCCAAGACAACATTTCCTTTCAAAACATGAACTTACTCATCCTGCCTTCTGTAATTGCCATTAGAAGCATAAATATTCTTTCATATTTCTATGTGTTGTGTATGCTATTGAAATGACTACTTAATCAAAAGGTAGAGATGATGGAAAAAACTGAAAATAGCATCTTTTTTTTCTTTCTCCTTATTGCTTCATAATGGGAGAATAATGAAGCTGTAACCTTGTGTGGCACCTTTAGAGGAAGCACTTCTTAGAACTGTTTCCTTGGGTACACTCTGTTCTTTCTTTGTCTTTCCCTCTGTAGCTTCCAACCCTCCTCTATAATTATTCATCCACTTCTAGGGTACTCTAGCCTCAGGCATTGAAAGACCCAGGGTCTGAGAGAGCTCTAATCAATGGCAACTATAAATATTCCCCAAAGCAACTGCAGCTAAGAATTTTAGTCAGTGGTATTATTATTCCAGGTTTATAAAGAGGGTGAGAGGATTACTTTGCATATTTTTGAAAGTTCTCTTACCTCTTCCTTGTTGATCAGCCCCATTTTGGACATGTCAATGTTAAAATAGTGAATGTTTGGCAGTCTGATTTCCATGTCTTCTATCTGTAATGCACAGTAATGTATTACATTGAGCAGTTGTGAGTCTTTCTCCCACCACCACCCACCCATACCTTATTCAAGCTCCATCTCTGCCCTTGAGGCACCCTCGCCCTCTTCAGCCTTTCTATTGCTCTACTTCTCTCCTACCAGCCCAACTACTGAGTGGTGGGCCCATTCTTAGTGTACAAAACCTGCTCCGCTGAAAAGTAAGGGATCCATGGGTCGCAAATCGGAGAGACCTCTCAGATATCCAACTGGTGCCCATATGCTGGCAAGTCAACCTCCCCAGATCCTCCTAATCCCTTCCCTCCCTCTCTAAGCTTTTCCTTAACATTTGCAGGTTCGAAGGTAAAACTATAATTGGAAGCCCATTTATAAAGATGCCCTAAATATTTAAACACTATAAATCAAACTAACAAGTACTGAAAATAAAATATGTTCTAACCTTCTAACTTTGCAAATATTCCTTTATAAATGACATGGAAGGTCAAGTTAAAATTTGAAATTCTGTGAATCCTTGGAGTGCCTTGCCAAGACATGTCATCATGGGAAGAGCCAGCCCCTAGACCACCCATTTTCTCTCCTAGACGAACATGGGTCGACATCTTAGTCTGCACATCAAACCCCATCCATGCCTCATGAAAAGAACTGTTCTTCAGACAACCCTCAAGCATAAAGGTGTGCACACCAATGACATGATCTCTCTGGAGGGGGAGTATGGGGAAGATACAGAAGTAAGCTCAGAGCTATTTGGGCAGGAAATTCTGGAGATCCAGGTGTCCAAAGAGTGGTCTAGAAGGGGCTGAATGGGCTCCTGGGGATTTGTTCCATTAGCCCCACAAACTCTTCACCCAGCAGAGAGAGGCATAGCCTGAGGAAGACGTGAAGAGGGTCTTTATAAAGTACTGGATCATGGCAGCAGTCCATCTTGCCCAGAATGAAGGCCAGTATTTTCCTCCTGCATTCCCCAACTATTTATTGTCTTGTCTCAGGCCCTCCATGCCAGATTTCTGCAAAAGCCTACAAACAGGTCCCCTTGCCTGTGACATATCAACCTTTTAATTAATCACTCTTCTTTGTGTGCAAATCTGGTCACACTATACTCCGCAGATACCTAGAGCTTTCAGGATAAAGAGCATTTCTTTTATGTTGTTGTTGCTGTTGTACAGTGCCATCAAGTCAGTTTTGACTCATAACAACAGGATATAGAGTTTCCAAGGAGCAACTGGTGGGTTTGAACTGCCGGTTCGCAGTCCAGTACTGATCTTACAGTGCCACTGTTCTGGTCTCTGTCTCACCTCTAGGCACATGGAAATACTATTCATTCCTGGATCTTCTCATATGGTTACATGCTCAATAGTAAATATGGATTCCATGCTGTTTCCTGTCTCCCTAACTCCCTCTGCTTCCTCACGTTTAAGTGTGATCCCAGATAACCCCTTGTTGTTATTGTTGTTAGGTGCCATCAAGTCATTTCCAACCCACAGTGACCTTATGCACAACAGAACGAAACACTACCTGATCCTGGGCCAACCTCATGACTGTTGCGACGCTTAAGTCCATCGATGCTGCTGCTTGGCCAATCCATCTCGCTGAGGGTCTTCCTCTTTTTCTCTGACCCTCCACCTTACCAAACATGATATCCTTCTGCAGTGACTGGTCCTCCTGACATTATGTCCAAAGTATGAGAGATGAAGTTTGGCCATTCTGGCCTCCAAATTCTTGGCTGCACTTCCTCCAAAACGGATCTATTGGTTCTTTTGGCAGCCCATGGCACTTTCAATATCCTCCTCCAATGCCATAACTCAAAAGCATCAATTCTTCTATAGTCTTCCTTATTCAGTGTCCAGCTTTTGCATGCGTATGAGGTTATTGAAAATACCATGGCTTGGGTCAGCCACACCTTAGTCCTCAAGATGACACTTTAAAAAAGTCTTGTATAGCAGATTTGCCTAATGCAATACGTCGTTTGATTTCTTGACTGCTGCTTCCGTGAGTGTTGATAGTTGATCCAAGAAGAATGAAGTCCTTGACAATTTCAATCTTTTCTTCATTGATAAGAATGTTGTTTGTTGGTCCAGTGGTGAGGATTTTTGTTTTCTTGACATTGAGATGCAATCCATACCGAAGGCTGTGCTCTTTGATCTTCATCAGTAAATGTTTTAAGTCCTCTTCACTTTCAACAAGCAAGGTTGTATCATCTGTATATCGCAGGTTGTTAATGAGTCTTCCTCCAATCCTGACGCCATATTTTTCTTCATATAACCCAGCTTCTCAGATTATTTGCTCAGCAGACAGGTTGAACAAGTATGGTGAAAGAATACAACCTTGTCGCACACCTTTTTCAATGTTAAACCATTCAGTTGTTCCCATGTTCTGTGCAAACAACTGCTTCTTGGTCCAGGTACAGATTCCTCATAAGCACAATTAAGTGTTCTGGAATACTCATATTTTGCAATGTTGTCCATAGCTTGTCATGATCCACACAATTGAAAGCCTTTGCATAGTCAATAAAGCACAGGTAAACATCTCTCTGACATTCTCTGCTTTCAGCCAAGATCCATCGTACATCAGCAATGATAACTCCTAGTGATCCCAAATGCTCCACCTCAAGCACCTCTCCCTCCAGAAGATTGGCTGGTCCTATCCCCTAACCCTGTAGTTAGGTGGCTTCCTCTGTATTCCCACAATACTCTATTATCTGTTGTTGTTGTTGTTGTTAAGTGCCGTCAAGTTGATTCCAACCCATAGCGACCCTATATAGAGTTTCTAAGGAGCAGCTAGTGAACTTGAATCATTGACCTTGCAGTTCAAACAACTTTACAGTCTGATGCATTAGCCCACAGTGCTATACCAAGACTCCACTCTATTATCTAGTGTATTATTAATTTACTTAATTTCTGTTTTTCACTGAATGATGAGCTATTGCAGTGCAAAGACAATTTATAACCTATCTTTGTGTCCCTCATGTGCTGACCGAACATAATAATCATTCAAAAATATCAAATGGATAGATGCATAGAAAGAAGGAATCTCTATACATCCATACTTTACTCTCCGACTCTCCTGAAATGCAGGTCCTCCATTACCCCTCCCTCAAAGCATTCAGGTGCCCTGAATATGAATATTAAATCACTGGGAAGTTGAAGGAACTCAAGAATTCTCATCAAACCTAAAGAAACACAGTAGTGGTCTGTGTTTTTAGGTTAGACAGATTTTTCCATTTTTTGCTCCCTTCTCACATGCTATAACAAGCTTTTGAACAATAACAGATGTCATTTTTCCTGTGTTTTACAATTTCTTATTTTAACTTTCAACTCTTTCTCAGAGCTGACAGGAAACACAAATTCTCTCAATCAGAATGGCAAGTGACAAAATGTACCTCAGGAACCCGGCTCAGAGAGAGCACCTGGATGTCATAGAGGGTCTTCTGCACAGAGGGTGAGTATTCTCCCGTGTCATAGGGCCCAGCAAATTTCTCCAGGACAATGTCCCGAACAGTGTTCCTGAAATACATAGAAGGGAACTGAGGATTCTTCATAAGGCCACCTGTCAAGAATACATTAGAAAGCTGAGAAGCAGTGACCATCCTACCTCCCAGAACACTAGTTTTAGAAGAGATTAATATCGTATAGAAGTCCTGGTGTGGCGATGTAGGATAAGCACTGGATTGCTAACTGCAAGGTTGGTAGTTCAAACCTACCAGCTGTTCCTCAGAAATCCTATACAGGGTTCCTATGAGTTGGAACCAACTCCTCAGCACATAACAGCAACAACAATTTCTTATAATACAAAAATCTCACTCCCCGTACCCTTTCTCACACACACACATTTAGAGAACTTATAAATAGGACTCACAAACATTCTGACCTTCAAATGTGTAGGGAGGTTTCTTCTGGAATACCTATTAGATCCTACTGTCAGACTATAAACATACCCTCAATGTTTGTTGAATGTTAATGGTGGTGTATGAATGTGTGTATGTGAGAGAGAGAGAGAAAGGAAATGTGGAGTTTTTGTTTTTTGTTTTTTTTTTGGTGTAAGAAATACCATATAAAAAGAATTGGTCAATTGTCAACCATTTGAAGAGGTACCATATGATCAAGAATTGATGATACTGAAGGAAGACATTCATGCTACACTGAAGGCATTATCCAAAAAAAAGCTCCAGGAATTGATGGACTACAAATAGAAATATTTCAACAAACTGATGCAGTGTTGGAGGCACTCACTCACCTATGCCAAGAAATGTGAAAGATAGCCACCTGACCAATTGATTAGAAGAGATCCAGATCTCTGCCCATTCCAAAGAGAGGTGACCCAACAGAAGGCAGAAATCATCAGACAATATCATTAATGTCACATTTAAGTAAATTTTTTTTTGCTGAAAATAATCCAAAAACAGTGCAGCAGGACATTGACAGGGAGCTACCAGAAATTCCAGTCAAATTCAGAAGTGGAAGTGGAGCCAGGGGTATCACTGTTGATGTCAGATGGATCTTGCCTAAAAGCGGAGAATTCTAGAAAGATGTTTACTAGTACTTTATTGACTATGCAAAGGCATTCAACTGTGTGGATCATAACAAACTATGACTAACATTGCAAGGAACGGCTATTCCAGAACACTTAATTGTGCTCATGAAAAGCCTGTATATAGACCAAGAAGTAGTTGTTAAAATAGAACAAGGGGATATGGAATGGTTTAAAATCAGGAAAGGTATCCATCAGAGTTGTACCCTTTCATCATATTTATTCTATCTGTATGCTGAGCAAATAATCAATGAAGTTGGATTATATGAAGAAGAAAGTGGCCTCAAGATTGGAGGACAACTCATTAATTACCTACCATATGCAAATAACCTACAACCTTGCTTGCTGGAAACGGAAAGGACTTGAAATACTTAGTGATGAATATCAAAGACTACAGCCTTCAGTATGAATTGCACCTCAATGTAAATAAAATCCAAATCTTCACAACTGAACCAGAAAATAACACCATGATAAATGGAGAAAAGATAGAAGTTGTCAGAGACTTCATCTTACTTGGTTCCACAATCAACACTCATGGAAGCAACAGTCAAGAAATCCAAACATGTTTTGCATTAAAGTCTTAAGAGCAAGGAGGTCACTTTGAGGATTAAGGTGTACTTGCCCCAAATCATGGTATTTTCAGTTGCCTCCTATGCATGTGAGAATTGTACCATCAATAAGGAAGACTGTAGAAGAATCAATGCATTGGAATTATGGTATTCGGGAACAATATTGAAAGTACCATGGACTGCCAGAAGAACAAACAAAATCTGTCTTGGAAGAAATATAGCCAGAATGATCTTTAGAAGGGAGGCTGGCAAGACTTCATTTCTCCTTTTTAGGACATGGGGTTAGAAGGAATCAGTCCCTGGAGAAAGACACCATGCTTGGTAAAGTGGAGGGTCATTAATAAGAATTAGACCCCAACAAGATAGATTACACAGTGGCAACTACTATGGAATAAAACATAACAATTGTGAGGAAGGTTCAGGACCAAGCAATGTTTTGTTCTGTTGTGCATAGGGTTGCTGTGACTTGGAACTGACTCAGTGGCATCTAACAACAACAATAACAATACGAATATCATATTGTTCTTGTTTATCTACTTCCCCCACAGAGTTAAGCTATATGACACAAGGAATTTTGCCTTTTTAATGTTACTGTTACATCTCTAGTAAAGAATAATAAGTGATCACTAACTCTGGCACAATAGGATAAGTATTGGACCATAAGGTCAGTTTGAATTGCAAGGCCAGCAGTTCAAACTCACCAGCTGTTCCTTGGAAACCCGATACAGGGTTGCTATGAGTTGGAACCCACTTGACAGCTCTTAACAACAACAACAACAACCCTTATTTTGGATCCTGATATGACACTGTAGGAAAAGGGCAGGACCACAAGGTCAGTTTGAGCCACAAAGTAGATGGTTCAAACTTACCAATGCTCCTTGGAAGCCCTGTGATTTGCTATGAGTAAAAACTGACTCGATGGCACTTAACAACAGCTTCCAATAAGCCAAGCATTCGGCTAGCCACTATGAGACTGATAGGTACAAGACATGGTCTTTGTTCTAGTAACTAAAACTGACATGGAAGCAAATATTTATTCACTCAAGAATATTTGGTTTCTCACTAAGTGCGAGACAATACTTCATAATACTCACTGTGCCCAAAGGGCAAAACTGGAAATGATTGGAAGGTCTAGGGAGAGTTTCACCCAAAATAAAACATTTTGAGCTGTGTGTTAAAGTAATAGAAAGTTATCCGGTAAGAACAGAAAGGGGAAGTGTAAAGAGAGCCACCAACGCTGAGGTTAAAAAGAACAAGGTAATCAGGCAATTTTTGGAACTTGGAAGTTTTGATTTAAGGGGAGGAGGAAGTGTTTGTAGATGTTGCAGAGCAAGACTTTCATATTATCACATTATTAAAGGAACAAATAAAACTATTTCTGTAGGAGAAGCTACTAGGAGGCACATTCCAGTTTATCACAGGGCAAACACTCCTAACAATTAGAACTTAAGCAAATAAATACGATGCATGGTTATAAAATAAGTTCTCTGTCTCTGTGAGTTCAGAGGCCTAGTTACTTCTTGTGAAGGATATTATAATAAGAATCATGCCTCTAAAATGTTAGAGCATCTATCATTTACAAACTGTTCCTGTGGATATCATCCCTTTTGAGTTTAGATTGGAATGATCAATTGTTTTCTGTTTGCATGGGACCAAGGGGTTTGTTTACCAGTATGCAGGACCCTCATTCTAAAACCAGGAAAATCCGAGGCAAACTGGGAAGAATTAGTCACCCTGAACTAGTTTAGCTCTCCCTAAAGCCCTCTGAGGTAATAAAGTCAGATTATCATTATCTTCATTTAATCCAATGGTTCTTTGAGTGTGGTTTTCCAATCCGGTAGCATCACCATCACCTGGAAGTTAGGCAGAAATGCAAATTTTGGGATCCTGGTATGGCATTGTAGAATTGGAACTGGACTGTAAACCACAAGGTCAATAGTTCAAATCCATCAGCTGCTCCTTGGAAATCCTATACAGGGTCACTATGAATTGGAACAAACTCAACAGCACTTAACAACTACAACATCAATATTCTAGTTCTACTGAATCAGAAACTCTGGGATAGGGATCAATTGAACTGTGTTTTAGCAAACACTCCCACTGATTCTAATGCACACTAATGCTTGAGAACCACTAATGCCATAAATTTAAAACACAGAGTCTTAAATTAGAAATCTCTTTCAGATATTGGACTTCATGAATGCTGAACCCCTGCAAACAGAGCAAATACTTCCTGCCTCTGAGCCCGGCCCTAACGCCCATTCATACCAGGTAGCTTCAAAGTCCACGTCTCTGAATTGGTGGTAGTGCCACTTGCAATACACTTGGGTGGCAAAGCACCGGTCCTTCACATCAGGGAGGGTGGTGAACTGGTCTTTAATGAATCCTTCAAATCCAGACTGAGTCGTTTTCAAGACTTTGAGGTCTTTGATTCCAGAATGAATAACTGGAAGTCCTGTTTTAAGTGGGGGGAAAAAAGCAATAGAGAATGAGGTCATAAATAAAACAGTGTCTTCACTGAGACCCAGAGCTGAGAACACTGGTCATTAAAATATGACACACTGTGTTCATAAAAAAACAAAACAAAATTGCCTCTCTTGTCCTTGTATTCTTTCTGTCTCTTCAGTCTGAATGATGAGGGTGGTGTGCCTTTCCCTCTGTCTAGAGTCCACAAATCCTCGTTCTAAAAGATAGAGCTAATTCTAAACTTTGGAGGGCAAAAAACTTACACGAGACTGCCTACCCTCACTTCTGACACAAACTGTAAGGTTAGGGCTTTCCAAAATGACCCTCAGGTTTGAAGTTCTCTGGAAGGATTCACAGAATACAATGAAAGCGCTCATAAACCCCAGTGCCATGGAGTCAATTCCATCTCATAGCGACACTATAGGACATAGCTCCATAGGATTTCCGAGACTAAATCTTTACAGGAGCAGACAGCTTCATCTTTCCTTCACGGAGCAGTTGATGGGTTTGAACCACCGGCCTTGGGTTAGCAGTCAAACCACTTATCCTATAGTGCCACAAGGGCTCCCTCTTATATCGCAGTTACTGTTAATTTTAGGGAAGGGTAGAAATTAAAATCAGCAAGGCAAGAAATACAAAGGGAAGAATCCAAAAACCAAAAACCAAACGCATTGCTGTTGTCAATTCTAACTCATGGTGATCCTTTGAGTAGAACTGTTGCAAATAGAACTGCTTTGTAGAGTTCTCTTGGCTGTAACCTTTATGGAAGTAGATTCCCAGGCCTTTCTTTTATGGTACTGTTGGATGGCTTTGAATAGATAACCTTTAGATTAGTATGAATCGGGCTGCCATCCTCAGGGTCAGCAATTCGAAACTACCAGCAGCTCCGCAGGAGAAAGATGAAGCTTTCTGCTCCCGTAAAGATTTACAGCCTCAGAAACCCTGTATAGGGTTGCTATGGATTGGAACCAAATCCACTGCACATAACAACAAGAGACCTTGGCTAAGGAGCTCTGGTAGCATAGTGGTTATGAGTTGGGCTGCTAACCTCAAGGTCAGCAGTTCGATATTACCAGCCATCCCATGGGAGAAAGATGAGGCTTTCTGCTCCAGTAAAAATTTACAGCCGCAGAAACCCTATGCAGGGTTGTTATGAGTTGGCGCTGACTCCACGGCATACCACCACCATCAGGGACCTTGGCTAGAGTCCAGGAAGTATCAATCACACTACTTCCATTGCTCTCCCTGTGAATCAGGACACATTACTTTCCTAAAACTGAAGTGTGACAGTATACATGAATATTGCTAACTAGAGAAGTTAACTCAAGCCTCAGTGTTCAGAGTTTCTTTATTGGGGTTTCCTTATGTAGGCATGATAGATTGATTACTTGTGTGTCTGGTCTCAGACTTCGGGTCAATTTATACCACATAACCCAAAGCCCTGGTGTGGCTCTGTGGGATAATGCACTGGACCGCAGGGTAGGTTTGAACTGCAAGGTTGGTGGTTCAAACTCAACAGCAGCTCTTCAGAAACCCTATACAGGGTTGTTATGAGTTGAAACTGACTCGAAGGCGCTTAACAACAAACAACAACCCAAAGCCCTAATCCACATGGCTGGTTTTTCTGTCAGTGACTCAAGGCCCCTAAACAAATAAAGGTACTTCTATCAAGCATAGTATTTCTAGAGCCCAGAGATTACCTCACAGAAGTTGAGTGCAAAGGCCAAAAGATCTGTTTGGACAAAGCCAAATTCTTTAACACACACCTGCCCTTGGGGAACTAAAGTCTAGAGAATAAACTTCCTGGTAATGATGTAGCCCACAAAAATTAATACCTTCCTCAGCTCTTGCAGGTTGTTTGCTAGGCCAAAATATCTTATATGTTTTGAGCTCCATCTCATTCAAGGGCAATTATGCTGAAATGAGTTAATAAGCTCTGCAAGAGCCATTCCTCTCCCTATGATTGGAACTGTCGTTCATTTTACTGAGTATTGTTCTCATAAGATAGTCATCTACACTGGCTGATGACTCTACCAGACCCTAACCGAGTCTCAGTTCCCAAGTAGTAGTGAGTTCAGCAAAACCAAACAGCTCCATGCATATCTAGGTGACAGAGGGAAGATGTGAAAACAATGAAGGAGATGAGATGGCTCTGCCAGTATCCCCGAGGTCATTCTATAAGGTGAGTGGAGGAGGTGAAAGGTGATACGCATAATCTGAAGACACTGTTTACTTGTGTGCCAAGCAGTTCTGGCTCAGGGCCCAGGTGACAGGTGGGTACAAAATTAGATAGAGAAAGAATCTTTCTTTTTCTATATGAGCACATCGTAGCTCCGGAAGTTGGGTGGAACCTAAAGAGAACATGGAGCCATAATATACACTGGGAAATCCCAAGGTACATACAGTGCTTTGTGGAGAGCAAACTTCTTCCCAATTGACACAGTAAATTATCAGTGAGGTGGTGGTTGTACCCAATGTGCAAGCTCTTCCTGAGCATGCGGGTGAATGGCTGTGGAGATTGTCTGAGGAAGAGGTGGCAGAGTTTGACTGGAGAGGCTCTGTGTCTTTGTAGTGAGGAACTTTAAGGCCAGGGAAATTTAGGAATCAATATAGGCACCTTGATCTTATTTGTATATGCAGGCTAATGAGGTTGGAGGGACAATGAAGGAGCAGGGTTCTAAAAGGGAAGGATTATAAATGTCACCTTTTTTTAAGTCTCTAAGTTCATTTGGACTCCTGGTGTAGTACTGTAGGATCAACACTGGGCTGCAGACCACACGGTCAGCAGTTCAAACCCACCAGCCGTTCCTCAGAAACCCTATACAGGGTCACTATGAGTCAGAATTGACTCGGTGTCACTTAACAGCAACAAGAAGTTAATTTCAATTAGTATCTATCATTTCTGGCTTATTTCTGTACATCCAGGACCTAAGGTGTCAGTCATCATTACATTGCATGTGGTCTTTGTTGAAGGACAGAAGTGTAAATCATGATCCACAATTTAAATCCAGTGTAGCTCTTCATAGTTCAATCCTGTACATCCCCTGTGCAGTTTCAATTGTTATAGTCAATTCAGTAGCTGTGAATTTTCAGAGCCAGGTAGATATTGACTGTACTTTGATATTTTCTCTGCTATGTGTATGTCCCTACTAGAGAGAGAAATGACTAGTGAGCAGTGGTAGATCTGATGATTAAATAAAGTGTTCTGTACAGTGTACTCCAGGGTAGGTAGTAAACAAAGTTTGGTATTTGGTTAAAGTTTTGAAGTTCTCACTGGAAGCTATATCTGAAGAAGGATAAAGAGGAAAAACACCAGCAATGCTTTATGTGGCTGTAGCATGCAAGTCAGAGAATGAGCCTCCCCAGTACTCAGCATAGTAACTGGTTTTATCAGATTGAGAGCTGTCTCTAAATGTATAAGGAGTCCTGGTGTGGCACTGTGAGTTAACGCGCTAGACTGCAAGATCAGTTTGAACCACAAAGTTGGCGGTTCAAGCTCACAAGATGCTCCTCGGAAACCCTATACAGGATTGCTATGAGTCGGAACTGACTCCACAGCACTTATCAATAACAACAACTAAATGTATAAAGACAAAACCTATTAAATATCTGTGAATATGTTTCCACAAATCAGCATTTACAAATGCAGTGTGGTGATGGTGTTTATGTCCCATGGAGTCCGTTCCCACTCATAGCAACTCTGTACAGGGTGCCTGAGGCTGTAAATCTTTACAGGAGCAGAAAGCCTCATCTTTCTCCCGTGGAACCGTTGGTAGTGTAGAGCTGATCAAAGTGAATCTGTCTCAAACCCAGAGGTGGAATTTGAACTCATCACCATATTATGAGATTCCATTATTTTCTTCCCTATGTTTTGATCACTCCCCTTTCATATAATATTTCTTCCTTCTTTTATCTCCCTCTCTCCAATTCTATATTATCAGAAACCTTTTCAGGGGCTAAGAAGGTTATCCTCTCACATTTCACAGTGTGTTTGGTTTTTGGAACTCAGAGCTCTGAGCCTGAAAATACCGTCCATTGGTCTTAATTGAATACTGAAATGACACTAAAATTTCTTGAAAACTTACTTATTCCTTCTTTTTTTTTCATTAAAATTTTCTATTAAAATGCAAAGACTTAAGTCTTTAGAAACTAATATTGTAATCTACTTCCAGCAGCAATTCTTTCTAGAAAATAAAATCCTGTAAGAATGAAACATGGGCTTGCAATCCAGGGAAGGGGTAGAATGACATTTGAAAGAGGATACAGAGAAGGTGAAAGAGAACCAAAGGCAAACTTTACCTACTCTATATTTTCATAAAGTGCTGGTTGTGATCATCAACATCAAATTAAGCAAATAGGAAGTTAGCTTCTCTAATGGCCTTAGTCATAAAAGCGTTCCTGAATGAATACTGTGTAGTGACCAAATCCACAACCTTGGGATTCAGATTTCCTGAATTCAAGTTCCAGTGGTTCTCTCTATGACATCCTCTTATGAGCACTGTGTCCATGAAGAAATTACAGAGCTTCTCTGTACCTTTATTTTCTCATCTTTAAAACAGAAATGATAACCATGCCTACTTCCTAGAGCTGACATATGTCTAAGATAATACGCATAAAGGATTTAGTAGAATGACTGACCCATAAGGAATGCTCTATAAATGTTAGTATTATGTTTATTTTGCCAGAATTTACTTCTACTGTTGACCCTCAACCACCTGTGAATATTTGCCATGTGTCACAGAAGCTCAGTAGGTTTTTAAAACTGCCTATGATGCACTTTCCCTGGGTGCCTCCAACCCTGGGATGAGATTTATTGACTTCAGAGGAGATTCAGTCCTGCTAGGCAACTTAGAAATGATCAACTTTCTTGCTAGAATCTGAAAACAGAGAAAGCAGTTGCATTTTCTAATGTGTCTTGGCTTCACTTTCACACAGAATAAAACTTCTCATGTTCCCAAAGACAATTAACTATTGCCACAGTTTTGGCAG